CATCATGTGGTGAAGTAATGCCCTTAAGAATTAAAACCATCCACACTTTCATCTATGGTATAAAATTAAGTCCCTAAAAGGTCTGATTTGTGATTTGGTCATAAAAGGTTCAACCATTGGCTTTTCATTGATTGCTTGCAATTTTAACAGTTATTTAATGTTTTGTGATATGGAAGAATTGAGTATGTCATATATGAAACACATTTGTTTTTATTTCTTTGTAGCCTATACTGAAATGTCATGGTGAATTTTTGGCCATAGACCATGAAAATTCAATTCATATTTGGTTCACCAAAATCAAGTTAATTGTGTATATGTAATCTTATGTATTTGATGAAAATGGAATTGGTCTTGAAGTGTTTGATACAATTCATAAGTGATGAGAAAGTTTGAGTATGTATCTTGTATTGTGTTGTATACATGAGTATTTGAGTACTTGAGCATAGTCTTGTATTTTCTTGCATTTCAAGTTTCGGATTTGTAAAGGGACCAATCAAAGTTGCATTTTCTTTCTTTTAATAACTATAAAACCAGGTTTGGTGGCTGGAACTTATGTGCATTTTTCAATTTATATGAAGAATTTATGTATTTTAAAACCTCATTGTTTAACAGTGACAATTTTTTTTCAAAATGAGTCACTTGGATATGGCTTACCACACCAATAGTATCTTTTTTACTGCTCCATATATATCTCTTCCTTCAAATCACTATGGAAAATGGCAGTCTTGACATCTAGCTACTCTATCTTTATATTCAAGCTTGCAGCCAGCCTTAATACCACACTAATTTCTCTAATACCACATGAATTGATGATATTTTTACCACGGGAGAAAAGAATTCATCAAAATTGATACCCTTTTTCTACTTGAAACTTTTCGCAACCAACCTGGCCTTATACCTTGGCTATGAGCTTGTCTCTTCCGTCTTTCTCCTAAAGACCTACTCGTTCTTCAATGCCTTCTTGCCTTTAGGCAACTTAACTAGACCATAGGTGTGATTCTTATACATGGATTTGATCTCATCTTGCATAGATTTAACCCACACCCCTTTATGTTTTTCAGCCTGGACTTCCTGGTAGTATTATGGTCCATCCCCTCCAGTGTATAGGACATACTCTGATGTAGGGTATTTGGTAGAGGGTTTATGTCCTCTAGATGACCTTCTCAGTTCAGCTGTAGCTGGCACTTCTTGGACAAGCTGCTCCCCTTGTTCTACATTACTTAGAACTGGTATGTCAAACTCTTGGGACCCATCCTCTTGTTTCATTTCTCCCTGTTTTCATGTACTACGATAGGAGGAACTATGACTGATTTTGAATCATTGAAGATTCACAGCTTTTCTGACTTCTTCACGTTTTAATGAAGGTCATCTTGAAAGATTACATCCCATAGGCTATAGTCGAACTCTTCATCTGAGTACTTTAGGAATATGCATAGGAGTGTTTTCTCATCCAACTTAGATCTTTATTCCTTGGGTACGTGCATCAATACCTTGCACCCAAACACCCTCAAGTGTGACCTATGAGAGCCATACCTAAGTTCTCTCGAATGTATTTATTTCAAATTCTATCATTTCTTGTCTTGTCATTCATCCATCTCGATATATTTATCTCAACTACACTCATCCTATGGGTATGTTATTTTTTTACTGCCAACATTCCACCCCATCAAAGTTGTTCTCACAAACTTCCCCTTCAGTTTCATTAGTAGGCAGCAATCATATACAATTGTAGTTGGACATCTTCACCTCGCCCATCCAACTCTAATTCTATTTGTGGTATCTTCCCATATCTCTCTATTTTATTGGATTATCAACCAAAGATATCAAAAATGCGTTCTTTTTAATAAATATGGAATGGATGATAGTGGTATGCTAACTAAAGTATATCACAATGAAACTGTAATTTGGAGCGACAGATAAAAAGCTAGACCTTTGTTTTTGGATCATGTCAGAATGCTGGTGAGAGGTGGTAGTAATACCAAATTTTGGTCGTCTAAATGGAGTATTCAATATACCTTAAAGCTCTTGTTTCTTGATGTGTGCAACCTTACAAGTTATAAAGCATGGCTTGTTAGAGATGTGGTGATTGGTGAAGCACGAAGTGTGAGGTGGGACATTAAGCCGAGGAAAAAGGAGAGTGCATTCAATGGTAGCGCAGCAGTTTGCTCATTTGTTGCAACTTATTTGTAGTCATTGTTAGATACTACTCTGGGAGGCTCTTTTCATTGTAAAATCTCTCTATGATGTTATTGGCCGAGACATACATTTCCACAATGCACAGGGGACCACAAAAATTTAGGGATTTAAGATTCTACATCGCATCAAGGCCCTTTGATGGTCGGTAAACAGAGATAGGACATTGTCGATTGATCAACTTAGAAGAAGAGGAATGATATGGTTGCACTCTATGCTGGAAGGATCCTAAAACCAACAATCACATGCTCCTTCATTGCCAATTTGCAGTTAATCTGTGGGAGTGGATTTTAAATAAAATCCAATGCACCTGTATATATACCTGAGAGAGTAGAGAAATTATTGAAGCACATGGCTTCGATTACCTTTTCAAAATATGGCCTGATGCTGTGAGAATATTAGTAGCGGCAATCATTTGGTAGATTTGGAAAGAGAAAAACTTTAAAATTTTGAAGACAAAGCTACAGATGATGAGTCAATGAGACGAGGCACTATGCAATCAATCATTCATGGGATTGTATGCAATGAAACTATTTACCTTTTATTCAAGGTGGTCACAACTATGTACAACTATTTATGTTAATTTTGATAGCTTGGATGTATCATAAAGTTCGAAAAAAAAAATTTTGAAATTTGAGTTTGGTCAATAGAATAAATGCAGCCATCTAATTTCACATCTAATGGTTAAGATTAATTGTGACCACCTTATACCAAAGATAAATTGTCTTGTAGTATAATTTTCCAGTTGGTGTAGGCATGTGTGGATTTTAAGAACTTGCCCAAATAACATTTTCAAACCAATTTCCGAGAGTTATTCTGACTCAAAAACACATACGAAGGGCAGTGGAAGCCTCCATTAGCACTATGGGTGAAACTCACTCTCGATCGTAGTGTGAGAAAAAATGAATCTATTGCCGAATATGGTGGAGTGCCGATATGGGACAGATAATCTAGACCAATGATTGAAAAATCGGCCGGGTAGTTTCTACTCGGTCAAGTTACTTGTGCACAAGTTGTCCAATTTGGGGATATTAAAAAAAAAAATCATAAACAATTTTTAAAAATAAAGAATTTATTTGGGATAAATTTTTTATGTTTTCTTCATTTTGTAAAAGATTGAAAGATGTTTTCATCATAAAGGCTTATATTTACGTTTCTTATTTTTAAATTATGTCAAAACTACCCCTAATCACAATTTGATGTTTTAAAATCTATTTTTTTACTACTTTTTTAACATCATTTTGAAGTATTTTGTTTAATTTTACTTTACACATGCATTTCCTATTTTTGGATATATTTATATTTTTTTTATAAGTTTTTGACCTTTTTTTTTTTTGTTGCTAAAGTACTTAGTACCAATTGAGCCGGATAATCGGCTCCAGCTCGAGCCAAGATGGATTACTCAATCTGAATCGCACTTTCTAGATCTAGAGAACTGCCACCATGCCAAGCAATTATACTGAGTTGCAAGATCTTAAATTTTGTGTGCTTAATCTCTACCAACGATTTCAATGGTTGACCATTGAAGGTGATTCCTCTAATGTAATCAAGTGGTGCAAAGATCCTCCTCAAACCTTGGATATGGAATGAAGTTACGACGGAAATATAGTTTTCACTTCAGGTGAGATTGGTCATTTTTTCGCATGTTAACAGGGAGAGGAATTTACATGATGATGCTTGTCTGAAAGTTGTTAATGCTTTGCAAATATTTTTTTTTATTTTTCTTCTTTTTTTTTTATTTTTTCAATTTTTTTCCTCTTGGGTCTTGTGCCCCATGCTTTTTAACTCTTTCATTCACTCAATAAAATTTCGTTATGAGTTAAAAAATAAACAGTATATCTCAAGTTCACTTCTTACCATTGAACTACTAGAAAAGAGAGAGCCTTACATGCACCTACATTTTAGCATGGAGATAGACTCATGTGTAGACACAAAATTTCAATTCCATAGACATACCTCTGCCGAGGAAGTGGATAAACAAAATTCCTATAATTATTCTTAGACACATGAGATGTCAATTTTAAAGAAAGAGAACCTCATCTATAGACATTTTAGAGAAAGAGTTTGGATTTCGTGATAAGCACTTTGCATGGGTGATGAGATAAAAAAAAGAAAAAAAAAGAAGAGAACAGGCATCTTTGGGAAAGCGGAAGTCGCCAAACCCAACCAAATCCCGATTTTCAAACTGTAGGGAGAGAGGAGGCGTACATCTCTAGACATGATCCGATTCTCTCCCCTCGGTTTGGGTTTTAGTAGGCCGGACCGCATATGCTTTTTTGACTTTGAAAACTAGAGAAATGCAGCTTCCTCATCATTGTTTGGATCTCTTATTTCTCTGTCTCGACCTTTATCTTTCTTTAACTACACTCTATTCTTCTACCATGCCAGCAAAAAGGGCTTGTTGGGTTTTGTTCTTCAGGTGCTCCCAATGATGTCTACCCTCTTTCTCTCTCTAGAATCTCTCTCTCTACTCGTTTCCTACATCGTTGGGTTTTGCGGGAAAGTGAGAGGAGAATTATGGGTATCCCGTAAAAAGACTCGGCGGTTGTTCTCCTCCACTCAAAATTGGATACTGCCAGTAACACTCTCTCTCTTCTTTTCACGTGATCTTAGAGAGAGAAAAAGGGTGGAGTACATGCAGGACGCGACAAGAGAGAGAAAGCCATCTATCCGCGGCAGCGATGAAAGAAACGGCCGTGGATTTGACGTTCGACAACGAACTCATGCACAGAGACTGCCGGCTCGCATCCATAGAGATCGTTAGAGAGAGAGAAAAGAGCAAGGGGTACGTAATTAATAAGGAAGAGAGATCAATTAATTATGTAGAGAGAGAAAGGAAGAGTGTCTGTCTGCGCACGAGAATACGGACGAGAGAGAGAGAGTGGGGGACCTCGTGATCGGTGAGAGAAGAGACCATGGAAGACTGTTCCCATGGGTCACGTGGGTTCTTTTGACTGCCCAATGAACACCGCATCACCCTTGACCCCCTGCATTGTTCGGTGCGCCCGAGCGCTTCCCGACCTACGTCTCGGACCGCATGTTGACCGCCCCTTTCCATTCTGCCCTTTCTCGATCCACCCCCAAACCCAAATCTTCCCTTTTCTCTCTCTCTCTAACCTCTTCATATCCTCTATATAATCTAACTCCAAAACCTCATTCTCTCCGCTCTATATATCTCCACAAAATCTCCTCCTAAAGGGGGCGCTTCCTCTCTCTCTCTAGAATAGACGTTTCATCGCCCTTCTCTCTCTAGCTCTTTACTAGGTTCACTCACTCTATTACTATCACTTAGCCTCTCTATCATCTCCAGATTTCCCTCTGGTTTTTGTGTATCTTCACCTGTCGTTTTCTCTTTGGCTTTAAGACCGCTCTTTTTCTTTCCCTGTTGCCTTGTTATTTTGATGCGGTGCGCTATGCATCGGGCAAGCTCGCTGGAGGAGGGATGCTCTTCTGTGGACTGCACTCTGTCTCTAGGCCCGCCGTCTGCACGGCAAAGGGGTGCGTCATCTTCGTCGGACCTGGGTTCGCGCCCTGGCTGTGGGCAATCGAGCCCTACTGGTGCGACTAGGTTTTGGTGGGATATTGACCTTCAGCTCATGCATAGGCAACAGCAGCATCAGGCGAGGCAGCAGCAAAGGAGGAGCAGTGGACTGAGTGTGGGTGGGGATCCTTTGATGGCTCGGAGGTGCGCGAACTGCGATACCACTTCTACTCCTCTGTGGAGGAACGGCCCTAGAGGACCCAAGGTAATAGTCCCTCTCTCTCTCTCTCTCCTCTCAATCACCACTCTATCTGTAATTCGCCCAAACACGATGAAATTCTCACTCTTTCCGGATTAACCAATTGCACACAGTCGCTTTGCAACGCTTGTGGAATCCGCTACAAGAAAGAAGAAAGGCGCTCCACCACGGCGGAACACTACAACGAGCAACAGCAACAGCAGCATGTGGTCGGGCACCTCTTCAATCCTCACCATCTGTCTCCTCGCTCTCCTTCTTTCCCCTTGGCCGTAGAAGACGAAGAGGATGAGGAGAGAGAAAAGGCTGAGATGGTAGGCGGCGCCCCCTGTGTCTCGTGGCGGCTCGGCCTCTCCACGGACTTTTCAGTAGTACATCACTTGACCTGAGATTATAATGGAGAAACACACTTCTAGAGAGAGAAGAGTTAGAGAGAGAGAGTATGTGGTGGTTGCTTTTGTTTATTTGTTTTAGATTCAGAATGCATGACATGTACTTTTCTTAGACCCCTTAATTACCCAAAAAAAGAAAGTTTAGACCCCTTGCTCGCTGACTTGGCCCACTTTTTTAGGTGTTATATGGCCACAAATTATCAATTGTTGTGGAGTGAAATCCCACTTATTTCCCATAATCTTGTTTAAAAGCAGTTTCATAATTCATACGTAAGTTTCAATTTGCATGCCCTACATTGCTATGCATGCTCCTTTCTCTCTCTCTCTTCCTCTGTATAAAGAACTGATAAGGAATTTGTAATAACTGATATTGCAAAAGGATATATCTATTATATCTATTGAATCTAATAATGGTGATGATTACCGAATTCTTAATGTGGAGGTCATGAATTAAGTATGAGAATGAAGTATTCTCAATATTATTTTTATTGAAATTTAATTATAGGTATAAAGGTGCTTAGACTATGGGATTTACTAATATGTCGGTCTTCAAGCAAAAATGCATACTGAAAGGTGCCTTGTTATAAACACAGCAGCATTTTAATGATTTTTTGGGCCAAATAAACGATTTGAGAAATGTTTGATTTTTTGGGCCAAATAAACGATTTGAGGAATGTTTGTACTCCGAAATGCTTTTTGGGGATTCATGTTCTTTGCTTAAATGGTTGCAAGAAGTGGGAATGTTCCAAAGGGCTATCGTGGCCTTTCCCACTGATTTAGCGCGCGTGATATGGTTTCTTCTTTTTCTTTTTTTTTCTTTTTTTTTTTCTTTGTCCTTTTTTGTTTTTTTCTTTTTAAAGTTTTGTTGCGCCAACCCTTCGGACGAATCAAGCCCAAAACTGATTCAAGAATATATGGGACAGTTGAAATCATTATCATCATCATTAGAGCTTTATCCTAATTATTTGTGTATAGTTATGGTGGAAAATAGTAATACTCTTCTAAGATGGGATGATCACAAATTTTCCTTTCCCAACTTATTCATGAATAGTTGGACCCCACCGGGCATTTCCCTAAAGTGGCGTTGCCCTGAAGTATTCATCAATAATGTTATCTAAGAACCGTACTTACTCATGAATAAGTAGTTCATTGAGACTGCACCTAAAGGGTATTAAGGGTACCCCTTTTATGCACCCAAAAAAAGGGGGGGCTCATTTTCCCTCGTAATTTTACCACTCCAGCTCAACAAGAAATGCCAAATAGGGCGGTCCAGCTGCTATTGACCTTGGGTGGTATTGCTGAAGTGAGTCCAATAGATTTTTGGTTTACGAAACACCAGTTTAGACCGGTTCGAGTAGATGGCCAAATGTTGGAACGGTGATGCAAATCCCCCCATTTTATATTTTTCTTTTTATTAGAGTATTTTCATCATATAAAAATAAGTTTTTATGTAGGCACATAAAAGTGTATTATAGAGAGATAGAGATTGGGGGTTTTGCACAAACCTTAGCATTGTATTGCCTTTGTATTTGGCCAAATTTTATCAGCATTTTTGTACTGTGAAGAGAGGATCAACGGTGACAAAGAAAGGAGTCGATTGATGGTGGTATTGTAATCAGAAAAATCTATTTGAGTTTTCTTTGCCATGGTGAAGTAATCTCCACAAAAACCACAAACCTGTAATTTTCTTCCATTAAATAGTCAATTCATCATTGCCATTTGCTTATGGATGTAGCCCCATTTTGAGTGAACCATGAATATTTGCGTGCCTTGATGGTGATTAAGTTGTTACTTGTAGTGTGGGGTTGTATCTTTTGTTTTTCTATTTTACTTTTCTTAATTTCATCTTATTTTTTCAAATTTATTACACCTTATACGGTTCTTGGGTGTTTAGATTTCTTGAAAATTAATTTAACCATTTTAAGCGAGTTGGTTTTGAGGTATTGTATTTGTTACAGTGGAGGTTTACAGCAACAAGGGGTCATCAAGATAGTCTCCGTTCTGAACAAGGAGAATAAAAGCTCAAAGGGAAGTGTGTAATAATTTGAAAAAATGTCTACTTACAAATTCAAAGTAGAGAAATTTGATGGAAAGAATGACATTGAACTCTACAGAATAAAAGCTGATAATATATTGGTACAATAAGGACTTTATAAAACACTACAAGTAAAATATAAGAAACTAGAAAATATAAATGATACTGAGTAGGAAGAATTTGATAGGACAGCACTAGCCATTATTCGCTTATGTTTAGTGAATGAGATACTATTTAATATAATAGGAAAAAAGATAGTGGTGGTGGTTCTATAGGCAAAGCTAGAAAGCATGTACAAATAAAGTCTCTCACAAATCAAATTTTATTAAAGAGAAAATTATAATCTTTAAGGATGTGTGGTGGTATGAAAATGTTGAAACACTTGAAGGAATTCAACAGCATAATTTGTGAACTCAGGAGTATCTATGTAAAGATGAATGAGTGAGATAAGGCGGTAATGTTGCATTGTTCATTTATGGAATACGATGATATTCTTGTTACCACATTGAGTTGTATCAATGAAAATTCCCCTCAAATTGGATTCAGTTTGCAGCACCTTTCTTTCTATGAACTTCAAAAGAAGGTATTGATGGATGATTTGATGGGTTCAAGAATTGATGTTCTTGTGGCAAGAGGGCTATCAGATGATAGAAGTAATTCATCAAGAAATTTCTCTAGTAAGAAGTCTAATTTCCGATCAAAGTCAAGAGGATCTTATGACAAGGGTTGTTGGTTTTATGGATAGTCCAGTCATATAAAGAAAACTTGTTGGGAAAGAAAACGACAAATTCCTCCAATGGTTTTGGTATGGAAATAGGACGACAATGTGAAGCCGAAAATGAGACTCACGAAGTTGACGATTCAACATCCGATTGTATTGAAGATGAGATATTGATAGTGGGATACAATTCCATCCATTATCAAAATTGGATTCTTGATAGTTGAGCCACACTTTGAATATACCCACATAATTTGTGGTTTGATGCATATGAGCCATGTTAGGGTGGTTTGGAATCAATGGAAAACCATTCAAGGAGTAAAAAAGTTGGAATGGGAAGTCCGCATAATGATATATGGTGGAATGGTTCGGACACTTGAAATGTGAGGCATGTGCGATTGAAGAATAGCTTAACTTTACTTTCTTCTCTAGATAATAAAGGCTGCAAATTTATTAGGAAAGGTGCAGTGCTTAAGTTTCAAATGAGCTCTAATTATGATGAAGAGAGACTGAGAAAGAAACTTGTGCAAATTAATTGGAAGTACAATTGTGCAAGAAAAGGTAAATTTGGTTGTAAAAGAAGAAGAAGTTCGACAAAGGGTACATGATTCGGTAAATGGTATATATTTTGGCAATCAAACATCGTAGTAGTACAAAACAAGGTATTAGTATAGATATTCAGCAAGGTGGAGAAATTAAATACTTGAGGCTTTCACAAGGAAATGTGAAGACGAAAGTATCTAATGAATTTCATTCGAACCAATGCTCAAAATTTGATGAAAAGCTGCTGTAATTAGAGTATTATATATAACTCTAGCACTATGGCCTCACTGAGGATATAACCCTTAATAGAGTAGAATGGCGAACCAAGATTCATGTAGCAAACACCAATTAATTGGAAAAAAGATTTGATGACGATGATACAACTATAATACTAATTTTGATCGTTACCATGGTTTGTGTGAAATTTACACTTCACTTGCTTGTTGTTTTTTTATTGGCCTATGTTTAGTCATGGAAGGAAATTTTGGAATGGAGTAAAATGGTTACTTTGGAATTTGAGAAGTGTGTGCAAATATTGTCACGATTTTGAGCATATACAAGCATTCATGGGAATGACTTACAGAGTGGATCTCAATGATATGATATCAAGCAGTGGTATACTTGGAGATGTATTAGAAATGTTTCACCCTAGCATGTGAGGAGGTGGCATAGCCTCAAGAACTCAAAGGATGAGAATGTTGAAAAAGGTGGAGTGTGCATAAAAAGAACAATTACGAAGGAAGATGAACAAGGCATGCTCATGGAGATTATTTTGCTATAGAACTTGTCGCATTAGCTAAGTTCTCTAGATTCAAGAACAAAAGAATAATAGGATATAATTTGGCAAAGCATGAGTGTGATTTTGCATTAAGGTAGGAAGTGTTGGGATGGTGATGAAACTCATCCACATTTAGTATTTTCCTTTATATTAGAAGTATTTTTGACATATAAAAATGAGCTTTTATGGAGGCCCATAAAAGTGAGTTATAGAGAGAGAAAACATAAGAAAGTGAAGAGATATTTTTTGGAAGATAGAGATTGGGTTTTTTGCACGAACATTGGCATTGTTTCTGCCCTTGTATTGGAATAGATGGCATCGGCATTTCCTTGTAGCTATGAAGTTGGGTTGACTGTGACGAAGAAAGCAATCAATTAATGGTGGTATTGTATTAGGAAAAATCATTTTGAGTTTCTTTACCATAGTGAGGTAATCTCTACAAAACCACAAACTTATAACTTTCTTTCATTGATAATGAACTCATCGTTACTGGTTGTCTGTGGATGTAACCTGATTTTGGCTGAACCATGTATATTTTTATGCCTTGATGGTGGTTGGATTATTGTGTGTAATATGTGCGGTCTTTTCTATTCTTATTTTACTTCTCTTGATTTCATTTTATTTTTCTCAAATTTATTATACCACATATGGTACTTAGGTATTGGGATTTATTGAAATCAATTTACTGGTGATGGGCGAGTTAGTTTCAAGATATTGCATTTGTTGTAGTGGGAGGTTGTCACACCCCAAGAA